CGCCGGCGACTCACGGCAGCCCAGCTCCAGGTTGTGCTGTTGCTCAGCATCTTAGCTGTAGAGGGCAGTGTCACTGGCCCTCATATGTGGGATCCGAACTGGGGCCCTCTGGCATCCCAAACCAGCTCTTAACCAACTCGCCACTCGGCCGGCCCTTAAGTCACATTTTTTAATGTCTCTATTTTTGCACCAAAGTGGATGGATCCGAATTTATTTAGTGAATCCTTTATTGGACCTTTTAGGTGATGTGGACTCTCAAAATTATCTTCTTAAGTCCCACATCTTTTCATCTCGGTTCTAGTGTGGATGCCTTTTAGCAAATATCCTGGACTTGATTTTGTTAGTAGTAAAATAAATCTTTATGACAATTCGCTTTCAAAGCTTGGGGTTGGCAGACTGCAGATTCTCATAGAACCATTGCCTGTTTTTGTAGATTTTTATTAGAACACAGCCAAGATGACCTTGGTTTTTAATTCCAGCTCTGCCACTTAATAGCTATTATAAGTTTTTGTTGCCTCTTCTGTAAAAGTGGACCTAATAATGGCACTTGCCTGAAAGGACTGTTGTGTGAATTAGATAAGGTAATGTATGTGAAGCACTTAGCTCAAGATCTGGCACACAATTAACTATTATTAATTAATAAATATTAGCTATTAATATTGCTATTCAGGGAATTGGACAAATTTTTGACTGTCAAAATATTCATCAATCCACCAAATTTTCAATGATCCAAACCCAGTTTAGACCAATAGTTTTTTTTTTTTAAGCTGAGCTATCCTGCTACCTGTTGGCAGCTCAGCGGCTGCTTAGCTCGGGCTGGGAATCGAACTGCTGTTGTTCAGAGCTCAAACTCTTGAGCGAGCTCTTAACCAACTGATCCACTCAGCCGGCCCTAGACCAATAGTTCTTGATTAGTTGCATATTATTCATTGGATTTCATCGAGCATCTCATAAAAGCTAGCACACCTCCAAAAATGCATATATGCATTAATAGAAAGAATTTGTGTACAGTGAAAGAAATAAAGGACCCAATTAAGAATTGCTTTTGAGTCCCCTGCCCCTACCACTTTTTTCTAATTCTACCAAAAAAACAAAATCTTTGTTATATATAAAAACATTTAAAAGTTGTTGCACATTGCTTTGTTCCCGTATGTGTATTTAAACCCTGGTGTCTAGCTAGATTATGGTCTCAGTGGAATAGGGTCACTGTCAGACATACATTTGGTGTAGAATGTAGCATACCTGACATTTCCATGTTATTGATGATGAAGTTTTCCAGGATTCTCCTGTATCATGATCAGGTATTTTTGCTTTTACTAGTAAACTAAGAAAAGGATAATGCCATTCATGAACATACTTGAATTCTTCCTACAAAATGTCGTTACACAGTACAATATATTAAGCTAAATTATTGTCTCTAGGTCATTTACAAAATATTTAATAAAAGATTTATTTTAGAATGGTTTTTGATTTTTAGAAAAATTGCAAGGATAGTACAGAGAGTTCATGTATAACCCACACCCAGTTTCTGTTTCTAGACCGTTTGAGTTCATCTTAGATATTCATCTACTCTGTTGGAGAACCTATAGGACATTCATGGGATTTTTTACTCTGACCTTAAAGAGCATAAAAATTTAGTAGGAAGGACATTTTCTCCAATCACTTTTTAAAAAAAGTATACTAAGAGGTGGTGATTGTGGTTTTTGTGTGAGCTTATTATAGGTGGGAGAGAGAACGGTCAGCCAATAGTATAAGGGAAGATTTTTCCTAAACAATATGGCACTTGTATTGGTACATGAAGAGAGATGGGATTTGGCTGTACGGGAGCTAGGGAAAGAAATGGAATGCTAACTCAGATGGCCTGATTGATTGATTTTCATGTGCTCTTTTTGAGGAAGATGCGGACTTGCCGTACCTAAAGGAAACATAATTTAGGCTGCAACAACTACCTTGCCAGATATTTCATCATTTCTTACTAAAGTCTGCCATGGGTGTTGCCAATACCTCCAGCCTTTTTGGTTCTCATGATCTTTGACTAGATCAGCGGTTCTCAACCTGTGGGTCGCGACCTCTTTGGGGGTCGAACGACCCTTTCACAGGGGTCGCCTAAGATCATCGGAAAACAAAAAGATATTCACATTACGATTCATAACAGTAGCAAAATTATAGTTATAAAGTAGCAACGAAAATAATTTTATGGTTGGGGTCACCACAACATGAGGAACTGTATTAAGGGGTCACGGCATTAGGAAGGTTGAGAACCGCTGAACTAGATGGTTACGTTCTTTTAATCCAGCATGCAGTGTGAGCACTGTCTTTGGGCCCTTATTAGCTACTGTAGCTGTAATCAGGGAGCTGAGCTCCGTGCTCACTAGATCTGTGGTTTCTCTCCTCTTCTGTTCAGGTATCAGAAATGGCTGTCTCTGAACTACCCGGTAACCCCAATGCTGTCTGGACAGTGCGCCGGCACATTGAAGGTAAGCAGCCCTTTCCTAATAGTCAAAATGAGGGTCTGGGTGCTATTGACAATAGAAGGCTTGAAAGGCTGCATTCATAATATTTCTATATCACTTCATCTAGTACCATATACTAGAAAATTTTTTCTGGCCTGATAGGTTTTTGAGACTCTTCCAATTAGGATGCCTTCACCTACTACTTTTTGTACACATGGATAAAGGGTGCATAGGGTGGCTGTTAATATTCAGTACATATACACTTGGATATCATGGAGCTGTCATGTTTGGTGTTCTTTGACTATATTCACCTTTAAGGCACTGGTTCCATCTGTGTACAAGGTATGGTGTGAGGGAAAGTTTTTGCTTTATTTTTCTTTAACCACGTTCTCTCCTGTGCTGAAACTACAGTGAAATTGACCATGTTATTCTAGTCATTAAGAGAGTTAGTAAAGCTTATTAATTAGTCCTGCTTAGTGGGTGTAGTTGTGCTTAAGGAAGCAGGGATTGAGTGAATGGAATTGGGATTTCATAGTGAGTGGAAAAGAAAGGGTGGAGGAAAAAGAGGGAGTCTGAGCTCCTAGATAAAAATGGTCACCTCATCCTGAGATTTTGAAAGCTGTATGAAAATGCATAGTAGCACAACAGCAGGAACGTCTTGTGACAATTGAATTTCAGTCCCTTAGAAATAAAACTCTCAATTCTCATTTTCCCTTTGATTTAGTTTTGGAGTGTAGGTCATTTCTATTCCTGGACCTCATTTCCCTCTTGTTCCCTCAGGAATGTAGGACTGGTGAGTAAGATTACCCTGGCCGGCATACAAAGCTTTTCTAAGAAAACAGCTGGACTTCTTCCTGGTAGTTAGATGTTCTGGTTGTGTGGAACAAATTTAAGGGAGCTGGGAAATGTGTAGGAGGGACACCTCTTTCTGTTACCATACACATTTTGGTGAATTTTGTTTTCATGTAGGCATGGGAGTCAAGTCTGAGTTGAGAAAGATAAAAGGTGAATAGGAATTGCAGTAAGTTCGTTTTAGCTGAGGAGATAATTATTAAATAATTGGTTTTGAAAGATTTCCCCATTGTGTATAATGTAGTCATAAAGAAACTGGTCATTGTTGATGTTCATCTTTAGCTTGGTTGCTGATCGACATTATGGCTCTTGTAAGCATTGCCTAGACTGTTTGAATCAGAAAGATTCTTAGAGATGAAACCTAGTGTGCCCCTCCCCTTGTTTGTTTTACTTCTTAAACTTTGTTTTAAAATAGATTTATAAAAAGGTTGCCCTCATTTTTATGATTAAAGGCAGGAAATCACAGGTGGACTCCCAAGATAGCTCCCCAGGGTAATGGCGATTGAAATCCCTGTCTCCTGAATCCCGGTGCTCATTTGACTAACGCTGCAGTGGGAGTCTGTGGTTCTTGCTGGTTAGTTAGGATCAGTTCTGTGCTCTCTTCCTGCAGTCTTTCGAGTGACCACCATGCACTCAGAGCAATTAAGATAAAGCCCTACTTTCAGAGCACTTGCCATCTAAAGATGACAAGAATACCAAACCGTTGTGTGTTCTGATGTGATGAAAGGCGCAGCATGTTGTCAAGGAGGGGTTAGAGGAGAGGAAACGGGCTTGTTTGAGAATCACCAGAGGCTTTTGGGGCAGCATTTGATAAGTTAGTGATAAGCAGTAATGGTGCATTAATGGTGCATGATGGAACTTGTAGCAGAAAAATTTTCTCCTCTAAATACCAAAAATCTAGGAAAAGACTATCTCGATAAAATTTACTATTAGAAACCATAATTTGGGCTATCACTCACAAAAACAGGTCAGGCTCTCTGTTCATTCTCTTTCCAGATAACCCCAAATGACTATTGAGTGACATCTCACATGTCCACACATGCTGCAGTCTTCCAGGCAATTACTAACCTTGGCTGGTACGTGGTGATGCACACTACCAATACCAAGCCTTTTTTTCTCTTCCACAGGTGGCTGGTGAAGGTGCTGATCACCACAGGTGTGTACCTACTGCTAGGGTCTACCATGGGGGTCTTAGAGTGTACCCAGGGAGAGGGACTTCCACGAAATATTGAGGCTGCCCTGATGGCATCAGAGGGTAACTTTGTAGTTGAACGTCCTTGTGCATTATAATGATGCACACCCACCTGCCTGTATATTAAATGGTCTGAGGCAGGAATCAGCTTGTCTTATTTTCTCACACAGAATGTGGAAACTATGACTGATTGGTTCTTTACTAAGCTGAAAGAACCTGCAGCTACAAAACCTTAGCTTCATATCTCCCTTGGAGCTGTACGTTCCAGGTGTACTAATGGAAAGATCAGGCCCTGGAGAAAGCCCCTCCCCGCCTTTTGAGTATAATCTGAGGCAAGACAAGCACCGAGTAGTCTGAATATAAAACAAGAATGAGATATTGGGGGCTTAAACCACCTGGATGGTCAGTCACTTTATCCTTTGGTGTGGGCTGCTTGTTGAGCCTCAGACACTAAGGTAGGGAAACGAAGAATAAAGCCTTCCCTTGTGGGTGCTTCAGCGCAGTGCTCAGACAGAAGTCCTATTAACTGGGACAAAGATGCGTTCTCATATCCTAATACATTCTTCTCTGAAGAATGAACTAGTGTTCTTTTATATGAAACTTGTAACCCCTGGGAAAGGGCAACATAGGTATTGTTCGTAGCCATTTACTTTGAAGCTTCGTTTTGTTCTGAACTCCAACTTTTAACCTATAACCTTAAGACACAAGAACAACTCATCTGCTGCAGATCCTCCTTGATATGAAAGGGAAAGGGCGGAGGTTACAGTGTGCTTAGTACTCATAGGGTAATGGATATTTTGAGGAAGGTCTGTGATGTTAAGCTGCTTTCAGATACTAGTCATTGCTCTACTGCTTGTTGAACTGCCCAGCAAATGTTGACTCGCCCTGTTTAAGTCCACTGAGCAACTCTTTATTTTTATGTCTAAGCAGCCTTGGGGCAAAGGGAAGAGAAGGACCCAGGCAACTCTCCTTCCTTTCTCCCCCCATTCTCTTTCTTGCATGTAAGTTAAAAGTTGTATGGTCTCTTTTCTGGAAGCCCCTTTTCCTCCCGACTGAAGGAAGAGACCGGAAGTCCTGGCCAGTTAGAGCCCTTTGTTGGTTGGCTTTAATTTGCTCTGGCACAGCATTTAAGGTCTTAGGTTTCAGTAATGAGAACATGGGAAAGGACACAATATTCAAGTCATGTTAAAATTAAGTAATTCCTGTTATTTTTACGTACCAGGAATTTTCCAGTTCAAAACCTCAGAGCTGTCATAAAGCTTCTGAGTTTGGTGTTGTGTGCATACTGACTATGGTTTTGTTGTATGCTATTAAGATACCCACTTCAGCAATATACAGATGATGTATTATAGAATTGTACACTTGAAACCTGTATAATTTTATTAACCAATGTCACCCCAATAAATTTAATTTAAAAAATATCCATTTCAGGGACAACTGTGTCCTTATATTTTATGAATGTGAACAGTATGGTCTTATAAATCCATTTTATAAGGTATCACCAAAGCATTTGATATATGTTGGCTGTTACAACAAAATAATCTGAAAGCAACCGTGTGCTTATCTAGTGTTACTCCTTATGATTTGGAAATTGAACCCTTACTCTGGATTCCTGGTGTAGCTATTAGATTACATTGGGGAAAATCTTGGATCCTTACCTTTCAGCCACCCAGTCAGTACACACATGTATTATTAACTGAAGCAAAAGTTTTGCAAAACATTACTTAACCATTATTATGTGTGAAGCAGTTTCATAAATCTCATGTATTTCCTTATATTTCTGTTTAAAAATGCTGATTGCAACTAAATTGATTTTATGTCCTGCTAATGGGTTAGAACACTACTACTGTAGATTACAGCAATAATATATCTTCACTGGGGTTCCCCCGCCCCCTTTTTTAAAAATAAAGAACACTGATTCTCCTGAACTAATCCAGTAATCTTAATTCAGCTGAACCACCTTTGGAGCATTCAGAACCTAAACTGTCCTTGATGATGGCTTGGGTGGATCAGCCTTGTGGCACTGATCTCTGACAAAGGCTCAGGCACACAGGACTCTACAGCTGCTTCTGCTAAGAGTGAGGTAGCCACTTCCAATTTAGTACCTTGTCCACCTGTCATTCTGTCCTTTGGTTACCTGATTTCTGTGTGAGAGGGACAGAGAGGGGAATCGATACCCACAATTCAAGTGCAAAATAGGAAAAATCTCAACTCTTAAAAAAAAACCATGCTTTTATTGAGCATTTATCAAGCTTTATGCCTAACATTGCAGGATGTGGGATACACACAGAGAAGCTGTTTTATGTTGTAGGGTGGAATATGTGGGAAATAGATGGCCTTTAACTGTGGGATCTGCATGAGAAACTGAGGCTTTGGAGGCTGCCTGTATACCTCGGGTTCCCTGACCTCCTTGAGAATCTCGTTAGTATCTGTTTATCCAACTACATTTCACTAAATGAAAAGCAGATCCTGATACGCTTCCTTATGACCACTGAACAGTTGTATTTTTAAATAATGAATAACTGGAAAGGTCAAGGACAGACAATATAAACAATCCCCCTCCCTACTTCCTGGTTATCTAGTGTTCTTCTATGATTCCTATTGGGACATCCTAGGATTTTCAGTTTCTAACCCTAGAGCGACTTAGCCTCATGGAGGCTTAAATAATCTGTTTTATTCATTAGGTCTTGTGTTCCCACGGAAGCTTTATTCGGAAGAAGCTGGGGACCTTTCCTAGTTACAAGGAATATCTTTTAAGAATAGCCCTGTGATTGGCACCCGGGACAAATAAGTTTAGCTTCAGTATGTACCGGGGGTGCCAAAGAAATTTAGACAAGCGGACACTTTGGTCAACGTTGTTCAAGCAGTAGTTCACCGTAATGAGAAGTGTCTGGACGCTGATGGTAACCACTTGGAGCACCTCTTGTAATGCAGAAATCAAATGTGACTTATTACAATTTTAGTAGTTTTTTCCTTTCTTAAAATGTGTATACATTTTTTGGTACCCCCTGTATATAAATGTATTTCAAAATTTTCTCATGCCTCTGATTCCCTTGCTTTGTCCACTTGCATTTTTCCAGCAAATGTCTTAAGAAAAGACTCGTGTTCAGTTATTAGAGGTGGGCATATCTTCTCAGTGTATTTAGGCATTTAAGGAAGCAAAGCACATCTGTAGGCTCTTATCTTTTGGATCATCCTGTGCTGTTTGTCGCATAACTGTGTGTGAGATGACTACACATACAAGTACCTTGGAAGGTTTCTGAAGAGAAAACTTAGTGTATCTCATTTGGCTTTGTAACTAATGAGTTCTTAGCTAACCTACTCCTTTCCTCTTTCTTTTTCAGATGAGTTTGATGCCTATATCATTGTGTCTTTCGTGAATGCCACACTTGTGTTGTCCATTGGAGAGACTGTGGAAGAAGTGACTGACTCTGGGTTCTTGGGCACCACCCCAACCTTGTCCTGCTCCTTGTTAGGAGATGATGCCTTAGTGCAGGTGAGGATTCTCAGTTGCTTACCCGTTCTCCTTACTCTATTCTTTCTTTGCCCTCATTGTGGTGTAGGCTGCTATGTTAATATTAATGAGCTTTGAACTTCTTTGAAGTGGATGTTGCAGGACGTGAACTTTTTTTACAGTTGACCTTGCCTGGGGCCTATTAACTTCTTTTGTCATTGACCCAACTGGTGCTTCAAATACAGTGGCTCCAGATCTGACAGGAGTGACAAGACAGATCTGATAGGTGTGAGGGTCAGTGGTGAGGGATGAGTCTCATTGCTAAAGTCAGGTTTCCTTGTGGCGTTCCAGGTGTATCCTGATGGCATTCGGCACATACGAGCAGACAAGAGAGTCAATGAGTGGAAGACCCCCGGAAAGAAAACAATTGTGAAATGTGCGGTGAATCAGCGGCAAGTGGTGATTGCCCTGACAGGAGGAGAGCTGGTCTATTTTGAGATGGATCCCGTATGTTACTTTATCAATCTCTGTGGGACTTAGTGTGGGGTCCAGAGGTAAAGATGGGAGTTGAAGTCCAGGTATCTAGGTTATATTCACAAGAAAGAGAATTGGGGAGGGAGTGTCCACAGGCCAGCTTGGCCCTTTCCAGGAGAGCAGGGGGTCGGTAAGTTCATGTCAGTTCTAACTGGAGTTATAAAATCCCATTTTAGCAATGAAGCACTTGCTTCTCCTGCCCTTCACACTCTACTTTTCCACCGAATATTTGCCATAGGTGTAATTTCTGAAATCTGAATCTATTTCAGATTTTTTTTTTGATTTTTCTATATGGAGGGATGTTGAGTATACCTAATTGTCATGTTCTCAGGAAGTCTGTGGATGTAGTCAACTTACATAGTCTAACTCTACCTATGTTGAAATTACTTTGTCTTCAACTTCCATATTTGAACTCGCTTTTACCCAAAGTGCTCTCATGAACACATAAACAGTTTTATATATTCCCATTTCCTGACAGCTAGGTTGGCTTAGAAAATGTGTGGTGCATTGTACTTGGCCAAGGTCTCTTTGATTCTCTTGTCAGTAATTTTGCTTGCTATTAGCCTGTAAAGTTCAGTCTTGGGTCCTCAAGTAGAGAAATGGTTGGTCGTTAATTATAATAAGAGGAATGAGAAGAAAACAAAAAACAAAAAAAAAACCAGTTCCCCTTCCTTCCCCACCCCAGGGTTTGAGGGGGAGTTGGAGTGGTTTGTAACCTCTCTTTTTCACTCCTCTAGTCAGGACAGCTGAACGAGTACACAGAGCGGAAGGAGATGTCAGCAGATGTGGTGTGCATGAGTCTGGCCAATGTGCCTCCTGGGGAGCAGCGGTCCCGTTTCCTGGCGGTGGGGCTTGTGGACAACACTGTCAGAATCATCTCCCTGGACCCCTCAGTGAGTGTCACCCTCCACTTCAGGGTTCTTCCAGTTGGAACCTGAGCACCTGGTGCACTCCTGATATCTGTCTCTGAGACCAACTGGGCTGGACCCTAAAATCTACACCTGCTGCTTTTGGATATCGTAGCAGCACATTTCAGGAGTCTTCTGCAGCGCTTTAAAGATGCTGATCGGGGATTAAATACTTCTTTGGCTTAAGCCTTAACTCTCTTTTATAGTTAAAAAAAAAAAAAATCCCAAGACTTTTTACAGGAAAGGACTTGGACGGGCTCCAGGGCCTTAGATGACTTTTAGGGGAAAGTGCTCTTTGCTTATGAACTTTTACCCTGCTATCCACTTTGACAGAAAGAGGAAAGCATGGTCTTCTGCTGAGCTTATTTTAAGATTCAATTTGACTAGTAACCCACTACCCGTTTAGAACTCGGGTTTTCCCTGTGCACAGAAAGTTGTTCTTCACTCCTTGAATTCGATTTCCCTGGGTAGGTTTTTTCCCCCAGAATTGGCCATTTCCCATGTTTTTTTCTTTTCTCTTCCTGTTTAGGACTGTCTGCAACCTCTGAGCATGCAGGCTCTCCCAGCCCAGCCTGAGTCCTTGTGTATTGTGGAAATGGGTGGGACTGAGAAGCAGGATGAGCTGGGTGAGAGGGGCTCTATTGGCTTCCTATACCTGAATATTGGGCTACAGGTAAGAAATCGAGGCGCATATTGTTGGTGTCAGGCCCTCTGTAGGTTTCATGCACTCCTTTGTTCAACCTGGGCATTTTCTGTGTCCATGGTTGCAGTTAACATTCAGTGGATGGAGCTGCTCTGTGTTCCGCTTTTCTCAGCTCGAATTAGAACAAATAAGGCCTATTTTCATAAAGAGTCTTTGATAAAAATGCTTTGTCACTGCTCTGCATCAGAACTAGGTGGCGTCCTCAGGAGTCACCTGCTGTAGTTCTCACAATATGCTGCTTTTGAAACTAACATGTCACAGTTCATAATGGGCTCCATTAGCAGTAAAGAACCCGTAGGTGTTCCGTGTTGTCAATGCTGCTGAGCTCTTTGGAGCCTGCAAGACTTAAGGATCAGATGGTGTCAGGGTTTTTGACCACATACTTTTCATTTTCCTTAATGATTATTGACTCAAGACATGTACATAATCTAGCCCAGGTGCCTTTTGCTTTTTAATTTTACTTCCTCATATAGAAATTCTCAAACGTGCCCAGAAGTTAGACTAATGCAACGAATCTTCGTGTTCCCATCACCAGTTTGAACCATACCAACTTTGTCTGTTCTTGTTTCATCTATTCCCCCTCTTTTTCCTGGAGAATTTTAAAGCAAATCCACAATGATAAATCATTTCATCAGTAAATACTTGAGAATAGCTTTCACTGATATGTGGGCTTTTTTTTTGTAATTGCACTTCACTTGATTGCACTTCATAGATGTGTTTTTTTTTTCTTTAAAAAATTTTTATTTTTCCGTATTTTTATTATTTTTAAATTAAAAGTTTATTGGGGTGACAATGGTTAGTTAAGTTACATAGGCTTCAAGTGTAATACATATCTATAGATGACATTGTGTTCACCACCCAGAGTCAGTTCTTCCATCACTATGTATTTGATACGTGGGCTTTTTTAAAGGCCTTAATATTAATTGTGCTTAGTAAACTTTAACAATAATTCCTTAATATCTGCTGCCTTCTCCATGTTCCAATTTCCCTTTTTTTCCCCCCAAAAATCTTTACATTTGGTTCTACCCAGGGTCTACATAAAGCAGTGTACAGTTTACATCTGTTCAATCTGTTTCTTTTAATAACTGTCCCATTCCTTTTTTTTATTTTTTATTAATAAACCAGATCATTCGTCTTGTAGAATTTTCCACTTTCTGGATTTGGCAGTCATTTCTTTGTATGTTTAATGTTCCGCTAGCCTCTGTGTTTTCTTCAGACTAGTGGGTAGATCTGGACCATGCTGTTCATTAAAAATACAACTCAAGCCACATATGTAATTAAACTTTTCCAACAGCTATAAAAAAGGAACAGATGAAATTAATTTTAATGTTTTATTTAATCCAGTATTTAAAATGTCATTTCAATTTGTAATCAGTGTAAAAATTAGTAAGATTTATTTTTTTTCTTTTGGACTAAGTCTTTGAAATCTGGTATTTTGTATTTTATGCCTAACAACACATCTCAAATCTGATTAGCCACATGTAGCTTGCTTACTGTAGTATTGGGTAGCACAGACTTAGCGGTTGATTAGATTTGGATTTAATTTTTTTGTGTGTTTGTGGGGGAGACAAGAATATTTTGTGGTGCTAATTTACATCACATCAGGAGGTGTATAATATGTGGTTGACCCAATTTCGGTGATGTTAAAATGTTTTTATCTAAATTATCTGTTTTAAAGCTCCGTATCAACAGCACTGATACACATTATCTAGGTTCATTATATCATTAGGAGCTGGGAAATGATTTTCTATTTCATACTTCATTTAATTAGCTGGAACTTTTCTCTAAAGACAAAATTTTCTTTGTATATTTGCTCACCCTAAAGTATAATTTATATAGGGAAAGGATAAATCATATTTTTCCCTTTACTCACCTATTTTCAGAGTAAGGAGTTGGTGCCATAGCAATATCCAATGAGGACCGATGAAGTGGGTTTTTTTTTTTTTTTAAATAACATGAACTTGCAGATTTTCATATATTTGTGCTTGAAACTACTGCAGTCTTCCCCCCACGCCTACCCCCTTGGATGCTAAATTGCTTCATTTTCAATAAGTGTGAGTTCCCTTTTGAAAGTGGCTCATTCGTCCTTTTAACATGACTTCATTATCTTTGGGGGCTTTCTTCCCTCTTGAATAACAAAGTACCCCAGACACATCTGGAACATTTTTGCCCCCGACCTGAATTAGTCGTTTCCTTAGGAATCTTGTTATTTGTTAGGGGAAATAGTATTTAGAGACCACAATAGGCCTGGTTGTTTTTAACTGTGCATATATTTAAAATTTTTTAATTATAATGAATTTAACATAAAAGTTTGTTTTTGGAATATATGGTGAAAAATAAGTGCTTTTCACTTAGTAAAATGTTCAGTAACTATTCAAGTAAGTTAGTGATTTAGTGAGAGAATGAATGAATGGCTGGCTGATTATTAGGATATTCTTTAAACCAAGTCATTTCCTTCCATCTGATCTGAACTTGCTATATAAAGTGGCCAAGGGAACTTTCATTATGGGTAGGCTTAATCCACTCCTTTCCTTTTTATTAGAATGGTGTGCTTCTGAGAACTGTCTTAGATCCTGTCACTGGGGATCTGTCTGACACCCGCACTAGGTATCTGGGGTCCCGTCCTGTGAAACTCTTCCGTGTCCGGATGCAAGGCCAGGAAGCAGTAAGTAATGAAGAGGGCCGGCAGCATGTTTGGATGTTAATGGCATCAGCTGAGATAAATCCCCTTGGTATATTATATGCTTTATTTTCATTAATTCACCAGTATGTAGTTAGCTTGACATTAGCTCTACCTTGGTTATTTTGTTTTCTCCATTTGGGAAGTCTTGGGTTCCTTAATCCAGAGCTTCTTAACTGGGGTTCATGGCATTGTGCCATGGTTTGGTTATAGGTAAGTTGGGATATTGATCCATTCCGCCCTCAGGCTGGGCAAATGGAGCAGACTGAGAGTTAGTGGGATACCTCTCATCTAGGGTGCCACTTACCCTTGAACAACCTTGTATCAATATCATGGTTTACTATGTAATGTGAAAGAGGTTTTTTATAGCTAAGAATATTAGTGTTTCTGGGTACTGGGCTAGTTGTTCACTTGTTACTGCATTTAATCCTTGCAACTATCCCACTTTGTGACAGTATTCCCATTTCACACACGTGAAAACAGGCTCAGAGAGATTGAATGATTAGTCTAGCTCATATGGCTGGTAGTGTATACTTTAAGCAAATAGTAAGTCATACTGCCTCTTCTCTAGGCCTTTTTCTTAAGGGAAAAGGTTTTAGGTTTCTAAAATTCGTTAGAATATTCTGCAGTCTGAAATTTGGGGATAGGGTATTTGCTCAGTGAGTTTTTCCCAAGCTTATTGGAGGTGTTTTTTTCTTTCTTCAGGTGTTGGCCATGTCAAGCCGCTCATGGTTGAGCTATTCTTACCAATCTCGTTTCCACCTCACCCCCCTGTCTTATGAGACCCTGGAATTTGCATCTGGCTTTGCCTCTGAACAGTGTCCTGAGGGCATTGTGGCCATTTCCACCAATACCCTGAGGTGAGAGTCCCGCAGTTGAAGCCCAGCAGGAAGCCTTTTTGCCAATGGCTTGGACTGGCAAAGAGCCAGCTCTTTATCATGGGGCTAGTGTGTTGCAATTGAAACCTTCATTTGGCTCAGGATTTAACTACCTGGTAGCCAAGTTTCGGTGTTTGGAATTTTAGCTTCTGTTTAGACTTCCATGGCCAAGTTTTAATACTTAGCAGTACTGTTCAGTCATCTTGAGATTTAAGGTTCTTGTTATCCAGGGCTGTGCCCTTAGTTTAGTTTTAGAGCAGGATCACGCATAACCTTTTCTCACTCTGCCTTATCATGTGCAGTGTTGCATCTTAAATTTAACTTCAGTATTAAAATTACTTAGGCTGACGGACTATAGTTTATTTATACTGATAATGTTGGCGTGAGCACTATTTATATTGCAAGCTGGACAGTAACCTGTTCAGTTTAACTTTCTCAAGTTTCTGTTGTTTTTCTTTTTAAATATTTTAATGCCACCCTTGTTGATGTCCTGGTTATAACTATTGACTTTTCACAATGGATTCATGGATTTCATAAAACTTAGGTGATTTTTCGTTCAAGAGGGCATTTACTTTATTTCATGAAACACCATCAGCACAGATAACATATGTTCAGGAATTGCAGTACTTCACAATAAATTAGGAATTGGTGCTCTTTATTTCAGGGTTTGTCAGTAAGAAAGAGGAAATTTTAACTTTGCATTATCACATTATCATTGGAGTGGTAAAAAATTCCTTTGAGGGTTTTAATGTGGGTTTCACCTGAGGGAAACTAGAATTGTCATGAACCAATGGTGGGCTGTCGCTGAAGTAGAGGGCCCTTTCTAATCTAATCTCCTTGTCTCCTGTGCAGAATCCTCTATATCAGACGTTTGTAGTTCCCTGTTGCCTAATGACAATATTAGAGCTTTTGGGATTGATGTGTTTTCTATGACTGCTCATGGACCATTTTAACACCAGTTTCTAGGTTCTGAGTTAGTGACCTATTAACTCCCTTTCCTTTTGACAGGATTTTGGCATTAGAGAAGCTAGGTGCGGTCTTTAATCAAGTAGCCTTTCCACTGCAGTACACACCCAGGAAATTTGTCATCCACCCTGAGAGTAACAACCTTATCATCATTGAGACTGACCACAATGCCTACACCGAGGCTACAAAAGCTCAGAGGAAGCAGCAGATGGCAGAGGTAATGACACTGACCTTTAGGACACAATTAAAAGGTGTTCGTGTGAAACTGTGTTGAAATGTTTAAAACCCTGTAATTGTTGAGTGTTCTTTGTTATATTTAAAGATCCAGGTTCTTTTCAGGTCCTTCAGGCAAAGCCCTTTTCCAAAGTCCGTGGTTTTACAGGCTTGCTTGTGACTCAGGACTAATACACTGACCTGGGTTTATCCAGTATTTAGCTCCCTCTCTGGAACAGTTCTTCAGTCCTTGAGCTCCCAAAACCGTCTCTTATGTTTCCTGGATTCAGGCCCAAAGGAGATAGCTTTCGTATTTTCCACAACTACCTACTTCCAGAAATCATTTCCTAGCCAAAAAACAAGTAACCGCAACCATGTAAAGCTATATCTGGTCTGGAAGAGAGGAGACAAATAGTGTTAGCAAGGGAGATCAGATGGGCTAGGTAGAAAAACGGTGTTTTCATTTTTATGGTTCTCAGATGACGAGTCCGCTGTTCACCATAGCTGGTGTTAGTTCCTTTTTGCATTTAAAAAAAGTACCTGTTTTCCCCTTTAGTGATCTTCCCTCTTCCCCTTGTCTGTGTACCTCTCCTTTTAATCTTCGTTTTGGGAAAATCTGATTTTGGTTGACAGACTTTGCTACTTTAATATGTTATGAGCTGCCCCTAGAGGAGTTCTTGCTACTTATCCATACTTCTCACCCAGCACCCACTTCTGAACTCACCAACTCTCACTTGGTTTTTTGGATTTAGGAAATGGTGGAAGCAGCAGGGGAGGATGAGCGGGAGCTAGCTGCAGAGATGGCAGCAGCATTCCTCAATGAAAACCTCCCTGAGTCCATTTTTGGAGCTCCTAAGGCTGGCAATGGGCAGTGGGCCTCTGTGATCCGAGTGATGAATCCTATTCAGGGTAACACACTGGACCTTGTTCAGCTGGAACAGAACGAGGCTGCTTTTAGGTAAGGAGTCCAAGACAGCCAGGGTTTTTGGAGACTGGAATGGGAATTCTTTGGGCTGTGACTCACGTCTGACTCCTGCTTTTTTTCTCTATGCAGTGTGGCCGTTTGCAGGTTCTCCAACACGGGTGATGATTGGTATGTGCTGGTGGGTGTGGCCAAAGACCTGATACTGAATCCCCGATCTGTAGCAGGGGGCTTTGTCTATACCTACAAGCTTGTGAACAGTGGGGAGAAACTGGAGTTTTTGCACAAGGTAGGAATCACTGGATCTTAGGTTGTCCTACTAGACACTCCCACTTTTGCTTAAGTTAGGGGTCAGGTCTTTTGATGACCATTTTGGGAACCAAGTCATTGATTCTGATCCATCTTTTGGTGGCACATGGAACATGCTACTGGCGCTTGCATGCTCCAGTGAAACTGGGCCAGTGAATCCCACAGAAAGCCTGTGCGCTGACCACAATAGAGGAATAGGTGCACACTGAATTGGCCCCTTGTTTACTAGTCTTATTAAGCAGGCAGCAATTTGTGATCAAAATTCAACAGTTTAAAGGATTGGTGTTCTCTGGGGAGTTACTATTGTTTATGGGTTACAGAGTTTTGTTTTGGAAAGATGAAAAGTTCTGCGGTTGGATGATAGTGATGGTTGCATAACAATGTGAATATACCTGATGCTGCTGAATTGTATACTTTAAAATGGTTTAAATGGTAATTTGTGTGTTGTGTGTATTTCACCGCAGTTTTAGAACTATAATGACAATATTCGTGTTCTCTCCTCTACACAGATAGTACATGAATGTGGCTTCTCCTGCCCTCCCACAAGGGGAGTGTTTTTTAGGAAATAATTATTTCACAGATGCTTCTTTGTGCTAAGCTCATTGTGTCTCCCTTACAATTAGGATGGCACTTGTCACTAGCACTCCTTTCACATTCCTCCACAAATTATAGTCACTTCTCAGATATAGAGGCTTCACTATTAATGGCGCCAGTTGAATTATCATGGGCTCTGAGTGTTCATCAGGCACCAGGACTTCTTTTAACTTGTGGCATTGATCCACTTGCTGGGTGAAATAAATGCAGCGTGTGGGACCTGTTCACCCAAACACACTGTTTTATAGAAACTATATTATGTGTGGTTTATTTCTCTGGTGAGCAAAAGATGATTACTCGCTATCTATCTTCCTGACAGATGTCTGTCGAAGGCATTTTGGGTTCGGGGGGTGAGGCTAGCATATGGCTGTGTGTTCTCATAGCTGCAGCATCTACTTTTCCCTTCACAGACTCCAGTGGAAGAGGTCCCTGCGGCCATTGCTCCATTCCAGGGTAGGGTGTTGATTGGTGTGGGGAAGCTTCTGCGAGTCTATGACCTGGGGAAGAAGAAGTTGCTCCGGAAATGTGAGAACAAGGTAAATATGATGGTAGAAGGCCCAAGATCTAGCTAGTGAGGAAGGAGAAAATATTGGTAGGGTTGTGGTCAGTTAATTGTGAAAATCAGGTCTTTATTAGGACCTTGTTTTAGTCATTGAATTCCAGGTTCAGAGTTCGTCCCTACAGAATTGAGAAGGGCAGGAGGAGATGGGCTTCTTGACCTCTTTAACCTAAGAACCAGATTTTTGTCCTGCTTGCTTCTATGAGTAATTTCGTTGTGATAATTAGGCATGTATTTGCTCTATAGGCATACCTGGTTTTGTTGTGCCTTGCAGATATTGCTCTTTTTACAAATTGAAGGTTTCTGGCAACCCTGTGGAGGAAGTCTATCCATGTCATTTTTCCAACAGCATTTGCTCATTTTGTGTGTCTGTCATGTTTTGGTAATTCTTGCAATATTTCAAACTTTTTCATTATTGTTATGGTAATCTGTGATCCGCGATCTTGATGTTACTATTGTCATTGTTTGGGGGCCCCACGAACCATGCCCATATAAGACAGCTAACTTAATTGATAAATGTTGTGTGTGTTCTTACTGATCCACCGATTGGCCATTCCCCTGTCTATCCCTCTCCTCAGGCCTCTATTCCATGAGGCACAACAATACTGAAATTAGGCCAATTAATAACCCTATAATGGCTGCTGAAATGTTCAAGTGAAAGGTAGAATTGCATGTCTCTCACTTTGAATCAAAAGCTAGAAATGATTAAGCTTAGTGATGAAGGCATGTTGAAAACCGAGATAGGCTGAAAGTTACGCCCCTTAACACCAAACAGCCAAGTTGTGAATGAAAGTAAAAGTTCTTGAAGGAAATTAAAAGTGCTACTCCAGTGAACAAATGATAAGAATGTGAAACACAGCCTTATGCTAATATGGAGAAAGTTTTAGTGGTTTGGACAGAAGATCAAACCAGCTACAACATTCCCTTAAGCTAAAGCCTAATCTAGAGCAAGGCCCTAACCCTTTAATTCTGTGAAGGCTATGAGAGGTGAGAAAACTTCAGAAGAAAAATTTGAAGCTAGCAGAGGTTGGCTTATGAGGTTTAAAGAAAGCAGCTGTCTCCATGACATAAAAGTGCAAGGTGAAGCAGCAAGTGTTGCTGTAGAAGCTGCAGAAAATAATCCAGAAGATCTAACTAAGATAATTAATGAAGGCGGCTAAACTAAACAACAGATTTTCAATGTAGACGAAACAGCCTATTGCAAGAAGATGCCTTCGAGGACTTTCATAGCTCGAGAGGGGAAGTCCGAGCCTGGCCTCAGAGGACAGCCTGACTCTTGGTAGGGGCTGATGCATCTGGGAATTGAAGCCAGTGCTCTTCTGCTGTTCTACAAATCCTAGAACCCTTAAGTATGCTAAATCTGCTCCTCTATAAATGGAATGAAAAGGCCTGGGTGATAGCACATCTGTTTATAGCATGGTTTACTGAATATTTTGAAGCTCACCATTGAGACCTCAAAAAAAGATTCCTTTCAAAATATTAACGTTCAGGGGCTGGCTGAGTGGCTCAGTTGGTTAAGAGCACGAGCTCTGAGCAACAGGGTCGCCGGTTCGATTCCCATACGGCCAGTGAGCTGCGCCCGAGCTGAGCTGCCAGGAGGTGGCAGGATGGCTCAGCTGGTGAGAGCATGTGCTCCTAACAACAAGGTTTCCGGTTCGACTCCCACATGGGATGGTGGGCTATACCCACCCTCAACAAAGATTGAACACTGCACCTTGAGCTGAACCGCTGCGAGCTGCCAACAGGCGGCCGAATGGCAACTGGACTTGGAGCTGAGCTAGCTGCGCCCTCCACAACTAAGATTGAAGGACAACTTGGCTATTCCCCTTCCCAGTTCCCCAACACTGTTCCTCTTCCACATTTCCCAATAAAATCTAAAAAAAAAAAAAAAAATTTACCGTTCATTGACAGTGCACCTGGTCAACTGATGGAGATAAACAAAATTAATGTTATTTTCATGCCTGCTGACACAACTACATTCTGCATGCAGCCCATGGACCATTCTAGGGGCCATTAAGGACATTTGTCATTCATGGGAAGAGATCAGAATATCAACATTAATGGTTTAGGAGATGTTGATTCCAGCCCTCATGGATGACTTTGAGGGGTTTAAGACTTCCAGTGGAGGAAGTAACTGCAGATGGGGAAAAAGAGAACTAGAATTAGAAGTGGAGCCCGAAGATATGACTGAATTGCTGCAACTTCATGATAAAACTTTAATGGGTAAGGGGTTGCTTCTTATGAATGAGCGAAGAAAGTGGTTTCTTGAGATGGAATCTACTCCTGGTGAAGATGTTGTGAAGATTGTTGAAATGACAATAAAGGATTTAGAATATTATATCAACTTAGTTGCTATAGCAGTAGTATGGTTTAAGAGGATTGACTTCAATTTTGAAAGAAGTTCTGTGGGTAAAATGCCATCAAATAGCACTGCATGCTACAGATAAATTGTTCATGAAAGAGTCAGCTGTTGTGGTAAACTCCCTTGTCCTATTTTAAGAAGTTGCCACAGCCATTCCAACCTTAAGCGGCCACCACCCTGATCAGTGAGCAGCCATCACCATCCAAGCAAGACCCTCTACCAGCAAAAAAGAGTATGACTCAGTGAAGGCTCAGATGATGGTTAGCAGTTTTTAGCAATAAAATATTTTAAAATTAAGGTGTTTATATATATATATATTTTTAGACATAATGCTATTGTACACTTAATAGACTACATTATACTATAAATGTAACTTTTATATGCACTGGGAAACCAAAATTCATCTGACCCAATTTTGTTGTGATAACTACATTAAAACCATTTAGCTCTTTTGCTCATCTTCAAGGAATTTATTGCTGACTACTGTTCTTTGCTGTGTGCCAGTCTGCAGACCTTATATATGTTGCAGTCAGGGAAAGTTGGACGTTCTGTGGGTTTTGAATGAACCTCAAGGTTACACTCATTGCTGTCTTTATTTTTCCAGCATATTGCCAATTATATCTCTGGAATCCAGACTATTGGGCACAGGGTAATTGTGTCTGATGTCCAAGAAAGTTTCATCTGGGTTCGCTACAAGCGTAATGAGAACCAGCTCATCATCTTTGCCGATGATACCTACCCCCGATGGGTCACTACAGCTAGCCTCCTCGACTATGACACTGTGGCTGGGGCAGACAAGTTCGGCAACATTTGTGTGGTGAGTTCATGTTAACTGGCATTGCAGTGATGTATAGGAAAGCTGGCTCAGTTTGTGGTCAAACCAAGGACCCAGGACTAGGATCTCTAATGTGGAAAGTGAAATTGGGTATAAAATTCTGTCCTAAGGCTTACTCTAAAAAGAAAACTGTGTTTTCTTTTGCCTTCATATCAGTTTTTTAGATTTTCGCCTGTTTCAACCTCCTCTTCCCCATGGAACATGATTTAATGATAGATTTAGTTTGAGCTAATGTCTACTACTTATTTTCACTTTTTGCCAGAATTTTGGCTTATCTTTTTAAGCCCCATCTAACTTCTCTTGTTTATATTCTGTGGTCTTTGTTTTTGCTCTTGCTATGTTAGACCCTCGCTTGTAGGTTGAGTTTCTCACTCCTCAGAAACCAGACTGGCGGGAGATTTGGGCACAGGCCTCTGCCATAGGCAGTGTCCCTAGACTTGCTTGCAAGGATCTGGGGCATTTATTATTGTTTGGTGATCTAGATGAGTAGTTGCAGAACCCAAACCTGTGATTTGTGTCACTTGCTTGTAGGTAAGGCTCCCACCTAACACCAACGATGAAGTGGACGAGGATCCCACAGGAAACAAAGCCCTGTGGGACCGGGGCTTGCTCAATGGTGCCTCTCAGAAGGTAAGATTCAGAAGGGGCCCCAAAGGACCAGCCTGTGTAGTACATTTCCCATGACCCTCACTGAGGAAACATGAGGAAACACAGTGCACGTGACTATGCTGAGTGTGCTTCTGTGCATGGAAGGCCCTAAGTTGACAGTATGTAGCCTGTGATGGATGGATGCTGAGTTTGACATAAGGTGACCAAGTCACTATCTAATTTTATGACCCTGTAGAATAGAAATTTTTCTGCGACATTTTAGCTGTGTAAAAATGTCTTCAGAGTATAGTGAGTTCCTTGAAGAAGATGGTTGCACAGTTCATTCCTGATACTAACCCGCTCTTCTCGGAGGTGTGTCCTGGGCCTTCCTCTTTTTCTGTACAGATGTACTTCTATAGTAGAGCATCTCTGGACTTGTAAAAAATAGATTCCTTTTAGAGGGCAAGCCTAGTGTTTGCTCTTTTTTGTTTTTGTTTTTTTTAAATTTCTGTGGTTTCCTTTTTTAAAATTGTAAACTTGATAATATAACAAACAGAATTTTTAGTTTTAATTGTTTATCAGAAATGATTTAATGTCAGCATATGTGTGAGGGCATTATGCTGTAAGTAAACATTAAGAACATTTGAAAGTATTTTTAAATTTTAGTACTTGTTGGATTTTAAAAATGGTGACATCTGCCCTTTGGGAGCACTGCTTGCTCTTGGGAATCTAGAACAGGCTCCTGAGGGCCCACACAGTTAACTGGTCTGGTTTTGACTTGCAGGCAGAGGTGATCATGAACTATCATGTGGGAGAGACAGTGCTGTCCTTACAGAAGACCACGCTGATCCCTGGAGGCTCAGAATCCCTGGTCTACACCACCTTGTCGGGAGGAATTGGCATCCTTGTCCCATTCACATCTCACGAGGTGAACTCTCCCACGCTGTTCTGGCCTTTGCCTTCCCAAGGTGGTTTCTTTGTGCTAAATCTTCCTAGGAGGGCAAATCCATTTGTCCCCACTTGCAACTAGGAGTGTTCTGGAAATTTTATAAGGTGACAAGTGCCTGGGGAGATAGGAATCCTGATTTTTTTCCCTCCCTAGGGGAAGCCATTTGTTTTTATATTGGACCAGGGTTTGGTTGTGATGTGGGTATAGGATTAGTCAGAGGCCAAAGCCCCAGAACCAAATCACACAGACTAGGAATGGTGAGCTGATGAGGACTGGGCACTTACTGCCTCCTAGAGTCAACTGTAGGACTGCCTAAATTTGGGTTATGTCAGTCCAGCCAAGGAAGCTGGGATCAGGTGTCTGACTTCACATACCATTCTACATATGGTGTTCTCTCATGTTCTGCAAATACAGGGAGGTTTTCTTTCAGATTTTAGTTATCATGTAGCAGGAAAACCTGTGGTCATCAGAGGAGTGATTTAGATATTTAACATCTGTTTACATGGTAGAAATCAATGGTTTCTCTGTTCATTGTGCTTCTGGAAACCATAGGATAGTAGTTGAAATCACTGTTTCCTTTTAGTGACAGATTCTTTGTTTTTTCTGCCAGGACCATGACTTCTTCCAGCACGTGGAAATGCACCTACGGTCTGAGCATCCCCCTCTTTGTGGGCGAGACCACCTCAGCTTTCGTTCCTATTATTTCCCTGTTAAGGTAGGTCTTTGTTGGAAATCGGGGTTGAAAGGGGGCATCCTCAGCTCATTTAACTGGTCTTTTCACTCTCTCCCTTAAAAATCAGAACAGTCTGGAATGCAGGAGCGTTAAGGGAGATAGTAATGGGAGAGGGTCCTCCCTGGGCAGACCATAGCCAGAGAAAAGGTGTCACCCAATTTTGCTAATCTGAACTCTGGCTACTAAGGATCAACTTACAATAGTGATCCTGGCTCTGTAAATGGGGTTCAGGTATTTGTAGGAGGATAAAGAGCTTTCCTTGCAGCTGCTGCTTTAGCATGTGACCTATTCTTTGGGCATCTAACCTTTTTCTTTTGTTCTCATTTTTCCACATCTTAGAATGTGATTGATGGAGATCTCTGTGAGCAGTTCAACTCCATGGAGCCCAACAAACAAAAGAATGTCTCTGAAGAACTGGACCGAACCCCACCTGAGGTGTCCAAGAAGCTTGAGGACATCCGGACTCGCTATGCCTTCTGAGCCTTTTTTCCCATGGGGCTTGTCAGAGACTCTGTGTTTTATTTTCCCCACTACCTGGCTCTGAACTCATATGGCAGAAGAAGAGTGGCTGGTTAATTAAGACTGCAATATTAAAGCTAACGGCTCTTTCCCAGCCACTCTTCCATGAAATGACTGGTGTCCCCTAAAATTGGCATTGAGAATTGCTACGCTTCTCTCTGCCTGGTACATAATACATTGCCCCAGGTTCCGGTGTGGAATACAATGCCCCTTAGTCCCCAGAGCTTTCCCTGCATTGATATTTCTGGCTCTCGTGTCACTTTTGTACACACCCTTAATTTTTAACTGGTTTTCCTGTAAATATAGTTTTGTACCATGTTATCTTTGTGATGGGAGGCAAGCTGAGGTGAGGACCAGGCTGGATATAGTATAACTCCTGCGTTCTGCCATTCTGGAACCTAACCAGAAATACAAACCTAGTTTTTAAGGTAGCTGGTGTCCATGTGTCTTTTCTAGGGATGAAAATTAAGGTGGGGGATTTGAGCCTGGGTTAGAGCAGAAAGCACTGAGTATCATTCCTTGTTACCTACATGGATTTCTGGCACCCTCTGTCCTCCCACTTCCATTATTAATGGTTTTTTGGCTTTTCTCTAGTCCTTTCTGCTATGCAGATGAAACTTGGGTTCATTAGTAACCATGTGGTCATTCATACCCCTTTCCATTGGATATTGAGGAAGGGTGACTGATTTCTCCCCTGTTTTAGCTTCCTTCTACTTTGAGGCCTTAGAGTGAAGGATTTGGCATGAATTCCAGCTGGGTGGTCTCTTAACAGATGCTCCCTTTACTTCTATAGCTCCTGAAATGACCTTTTGCCATATGACTACTAGGAAGGATCAGTAAGTACCCAGATGCTAACCTTCCCTTGGGAAAAAAGTCAGTATATGTGGTACCTGTTTAAAGGCACATGGGTAGCCAGGGGTCCTGTCTAGCAGGCATCTTACGCGGCCTCTGGAGGGCCTTTGGGGTGTGAGGAGGCAGCACTGGTAGCCTGTCAATTAGAAGTGACCCAGTCTCAGAAATGTCCTAGCCCACACCTGTGAATTCAGCCTTCTTCCTGCCCAGCTGTGTGGGAAGCCTTAAGCTTCCAGGCAGTCCCCTTACCTTCATTGAACCTGGAGAGACCTGAGCTCACTGCTATTCTCAGTCCTTAAGAAAGTAAAACATTCTTTGATGTGTGTACTCAACCACTTCATTTAGTAGATTCTCTGTGGCTAGCACTGGGTTAGACTCAGGAATGGAGGGATTAGACACAATCATTGACCCTGAACAGCCCACAATCCAGTGCAGAGAGGGTTCCTGATGCTGTGCCCTGGAACTATATATCTCTTTAATCATGACTTGATTTTAGATCAGTCAGTAGGGACTCAGATTTTGCTAGGAATTGAATCCTTAAGTAACACTTCTTTTGCACTTAAGCTCGTGGATTTGCATAGTATACAGTACTGTTGAACAACATTTGCACAGGCTAATGCAGGGGCCCAGTTTTCATGTGGCTCCCACCAAAACGCATTTCCATTTAGTCTGTCAGATTATATGAAGTTGACATGCAGTAGTCTGAGAAACTCAGCATAGGTGTCTGAGCAGTGCAACTTGTTCCTAGGCTCTTTCCTGAAATACTTCTTACAGTAGTGGGGGGGGGGGGTGTAAGAAAGGAAGACTTGATCTCTGTGTAGAAGCAGGAATTGTTGCCATTGTTTTTTAATAATACAGCAGTTTATTAGTTACATAATCACTGCCTAGGGGAGGACACTGCCATGCAAGGCCACATGGGGTTGCACTCAGGAACCTAATAAACAACTAGGGGCTGTGGGTGGCAGGCTTTGTAGTAAGAGGGTGGGTGCCCCCCGGTTCTATGGGAGGATGTGATTGGCTTTGAGTAAGTCCACGGACTAGCAGGGAACTGAGATGAGCAGGCACTATGCCTGGTCCTTTGATAAGGAGGGTTGTTTAGCAAGAGCAGAGGGGGGAGGGAAACATGTGGTTAGGCCATTTGAAGCCCTTCTGGTTTTACAACATTATATTGAATCTTAATTTTAGATCTTATACCACAACTGGGAATGTGTGGTCACCTGATTATTGGCCCACTGGAGAGCTATAGGTAGGCCAGGCAAGAGTGAATGTTATATTGGATTGTCTTGTGCTTCCAATTACAAAATTCTTTCCTCTTCTATTCCTCTGTAGCCCAAAGCCCAGTGAAAGTGATAGAAACTCAGTGGAATTGTCACAGAACTACAGGTACATATTGTGAAAGGTTGATAGATGACAGCATATCATGAGCTATTATTCCAACGATTGTGCTAAGCACAGAGAAATTGACGACCTGTTTGGCCGAACAATCTAATAGGGGAGCTTACACATATGAAACAACCAGCCAAAATGTGTTTATAGTAGAAAGAGAACTAGAATCAGATTTGATTCTGGCTTGGCCAAATAACAGCTGAGTGAATTTGAGCAAGCCATTTAAAACTTCTGAGCCTTGGTTTCCCCATCTGAAGAACGTAAAGGGAGAGAGGTAACATCAGCTGTATGTACAAAAGTCCCTAAATATGTTACCCAGCCTCACTTAACAGCATCTTGGTTCCTAAGAAGCCCAACATTTATCAAAAAGACCAAGTGACCCTGTGTCTTGGGAGTACAAATTTTGTTTGTATGTTTATTTTTTTTCTCAAATTTTCCTAAGTGAAAACCATCCCTTAGGCCACTCAATAAAAAGATAGCTTCTTAGGCACCTCCCCCTGAAGACTGAGACAGCTAAGTCTGGAATGGGAACATGTAATTGACATACGGTACATCACTATATAAGTAAGGTGTACAGCATAATGGTTTGACTTGCATATATTGTGATTATATCCATCTCAGACAGAAAAATTTTTTTTCTCGTGATGAGAACTTTTGGGATCTCTTAATAACTTTAATATGTATATCATATTAAAGCAGTGTTAACTAGTCATCATGTTGTACATTATATTATTAGTACTTATAACTGGAAGTTTGTACCTCCTGACTACCTTGCTTCAGTCCCTATACTCCCTACCCACTCCCTTCCCTGTTTCTGATAACTACAAATCTGATCTCATTTTCTGTGAGTTTGGGGTTTCGTTTTGTTTTTTTAGATTCCACATCTAAATAAGATCATACAGTACTTGTCTTCTGATTTACTTCACTTAGCATAGTGCCTTCAAGGTCCATTCATGTTGTTGCAAATGGCAGGATTTCCTTTGGTTTTTGTGTTTGTTTTTTATGGTTGAATAATATTCTATTGCACATATATAACAGATTCTTTATCCATTCATCTGTCATTGGACACTTAAGATTGTTTCCATGTCTTGGCTGTTATAAATAAGGCTACTATGAACATTGGGTACAGATATCTTTTTCAAGTTAGTGTTTTTATTTCTATTGGGTATATTCCCAGAAGTGGAATTGCTGGATCATATGTTCTATTTTTAATTTTTTAAGGATCCTCCATACTGTTTTTCCTAGTGACTGTACCAGCTTATAGTCCCAGCAGCAGTACACAAGGGTTCCCTTTTCTCCACATCCTCACCAGCATTTAACTCTTTTTTATTGATATCCATTCTTAGAGGCATGAGGTGATCATACATTGTGGTTTTGATTTGCACTTTCCTAATGATGGTGAGCATCTTCTCATGTTCCTGTTGACCATGGGTATAACTTTGGGAAAATATCTGTTCAGCTCCTTTACCCATTTTTAATTGGATTATTTATTTTATTTATTTTTTATTTTTGCTATTGAGCTGTATGGGTTCTTTATATATTTTGTATATTAACATGATTTGCAAATAATTTTTTCCATTCCAGAGGTGGTCTTCATTTTGTTGATTGTTTCCTTTGCTGTGCAGAAGCTTTTTAGTTTGTAGTCCCGCTTGTTTATTTTTTATTTTGTGACACATGCTTCAGATATCGTATTCAGGAATTGCCACCATTGAGCTTCCTCTGCATGATCTGTCCATGAGTCTGGTTGTTGTCTGAGAGAGAGAGAGAGAGAGAGGGCTCTGGCAAGTAGAATTTCTGGAGCACAGGCACAAGGAATTAGACTTGAATGTGTTGAGGGCAGGAATTTGGTCTAGTTCATAGCTGTTGCCCAGGACCTACAATAGTGTTTCGTAAATGTTTAGTGATTGGATGAGGCTAAATTACACATCCCATCTGTGTAGGTATTAAGGGGAACGGAGCAACTCCTTTGGTCCAGTTGAGCAACCAGGTAAATGGGGAACTCTGTCCGCCATTCAGCCTTGCAGAACGCTTCAGAAGCTGCCATGGAGCTCAAAAGGGATAATGTCAAGACACTGAGGCATTTGCACTGGGTTATTAGGATCGCTCGCATCCTGCTGCTCTGATGAGTCCTTGCAACTTGGGTCTAAGAAAGGACTGAAAAGGTTTTAGCTGCCTCAGCTTTCCCCTGACCTCAGGGGTGGAGGTTCCACAGATGTTGTTTCCTTTGGAAGATCTCTTGCCAAGAATAGCATTCCTTTGGGGGAGGGGGGTTCAAGTTGGACGGTGGATGGAATGTTGCTGTTTTTGGGTTTTTTTAATGTATTGCTAGCAAGACAGCTGCTGGGGCTGGAAAGGCTCTTGGGGTTCACTTGTCTTAGTGGGAGAGCACAGGTCTCCAGAATCGGTGCTGCACCCATGACTGTGACCTGAGTTTTTCATTAGTGGGAAGCCAGAAATGTTGGGAGCAGTCTTCAAATGGGATCAACCTGGCTTTCAGGTTTTTTTAATTCCTAAATTCTGTTTCTCTTCAAAATAGAAATGACATGTGTTTGCATGAATCATCCACTTGCTCATTTTCATATGGAATATTGTATGTGAATATTTTAAGTTTATTACACCCTTAAAATACATTCAAGGGTTATATCCAGAGCTCAGAAGAACCATCTCTGCTGTGAAATCAATGTGGGAGGACAGAGGCTTACACTGGGTACATGGCAGAGACTCAGTGAACACCTCCATGATTGGTGGCTGACGTACTTAGATTTGGGGGTCTGATAGCCCAATATGTGGAGCCTGTGAGGAGTTGGAGTGAATGGTTGAAGTGAAATTAGATACTATGCAGCAGTCAGAAGAATCCCCTTTACCAGCCTGCACCAGCACAACCAAGAGCTATTTCTGTAGAAGCTTTGAGAGCCAACATCAGAAGACATGCCTACCTGCTAGAAGATGCTGCTAAATTCATTCATTCCACCAGTATTTACTGATACCTACTGTGTGCCACCTCCTGACAAGTCTGTTCTGTACCCAGAAGTTGCGAGAGTTTATAGCCTAGCTATTTCTGTCCCTTTAAGGCTGATGGTGAAGTAATTCTGCCAGAGAGCTGGCAACAAGTTCAGAAGAGCCTAGGGCCGTGTCTCTGCTTTCCTCAGATAAAATAGGCACAGCCTTGGGAGTTAACAGGAAAAATTAGAAG